TTAATTAATTAAAATTAATATTGGTAGTTTTTATATAAATTAATTATAAAAATATGTAATAAATATACTAAGGATACATATTCAAAGAACTATTTTTATAGTATAGAGATTCAATATAAAAAAATATAATTAACAACAGAAACAATTAGTATACACATTAGATGAAGACAATAAAAATGGAGTACAACATTGGTGTAGCGTAGATCATCAGATAAGAATGGAACTATAAGACGTGGAACTGGAAGGTGTAAGTTGAAAGCAAGGAGAGACAGAGGTGGTAGATTGGCATGTGGGATCTTGAATTGAAATGCAAAGGCCGTTAAATCTGACGGTGACTCTGGCCTTGACTCTTTCAGCCAGTCAAACAAGATAGGATAGGATGCCCCGCCCAAAATATGTATGATATATAGGTTAAACCTTCGATTTGATTTTTAAATTACTGTATGAAATTTTGATTTAATCCTTAAATTAAAAATATTTTTGATTTAGTTTTTAAATTATTGTATAGATCCTCAATTTGGTCCCTATTGTTTATTAATTTATCTCAAGTTAGTTTTTCTCTACAAAAAATAACTGACGTGTCCGTTACTTAACAGCAAAAAATAGTAACTTAATGGTCATGTATTATATTAATGACAAAACACGTCAATTAGTTTTTATATGGAAAGATTAACTTGAAGTAAATTGGTAAACAATAGGATCAAATTGGGGTCCGTACAATAGTTTATGGACTAAATCAAGGATTATTTTAGTTCAATAACCAAATTAGGAATTCATATAATAGTTTAGGGACCAAACTAAAAATTTAACCTAATATATATACATACATACAAAAACTGTTCTTTCACTTCTCTTTAATTTTCTTTCCTTTTTCTCTCTTCCAGTTTTTATTTGGAAGCAAATTCATGAGCAAAAACTTATTTTTAAACTTTCACCTTATTTAGTTTGAAGGTTTTAGGCCGTTACTTTATATTATGATATTTTTAATCCCTCACCTTACTAAATTTATTGGTTTTAGCCCCCCCACTTATTAAAATCGAAGAAAATAACTCTTATTTTATACTGACGGTTAATTCTGTTAGTTGAAAGTAGATTTTTATCAATTAATAGTCAACTAATAGTTAATTAATAGAATTAACGAAATATTATAAAGTTATTTCTGTTAGCTAAAAGAAGGTTTTTAACAATTAACAATTAACTAATAAGCAGTTAATAAAGTTAACAGTCAGCTAACAGAACTAACAAAATATTACAAAATGAGGGTTATTTCCTTCAATTTTAATAGGTTAAAGGTTAAAAGTATCACAATATAAGATGAGTTGATTAAAACTTATAAATCTAGTAAGATGAAGGGATCAAAACGTTATAATATAATAAAAAATATTAAAACTTTTAAATTTGACAAAATAAAATAAATTCATAGTGGCCAATGGAATTGGAAAGGTAACTGCAACACATTAATTGCCCTTTTCAATTTACTGCAAACGCAATAAAAGCATCATTTATTGAGCCTTTTTCTTTTTCCTTTTCTTTTTTTCATGTTTCTTACAATTACTTTTTTCGCCTTCTAAAATGGAAGGTTTACTTTTCATAATTCTTTTTAAAAACCTTGTTTGTAAGTGCTTTTAATATTATTTATATTTTAACTTTAATTATTTTATTTTAAAATGTTATTTAATATTTTTATAATTATTTTAAAAAAATAATTACACATGTATTATAGTATATTTATTTAGATAATAATTAACAAACAAAAAAATTATATAGTGATAAATATGAAAATTTTTATCAATTAATTATATTTTTAATTATTTTATATAAAAAAATAAGACAATTAAATTAAAAAAAAAGAGAATAACTTTTAATATTAGATAAATTTTTTATATAACATATAAATAATAATTTAAAATTTCTTTTCTATATGTAATTTTAAAAAAAATAATTTCTCTTGATATATATAAGTTTTTTTAATTATTACTTATATATTAATAAAAATATTATTTAAAATTAAGTGTAGATTCAAAGTATAACAAACAATTGCCAATAAAAAAATATATATAACAAATAATTTGGTCATGAAAAGTGACAATGAAATTAATGGCGACAAACTTTGCTCACCAACCCCCTCACCTACCCCCCATTCCTTTACTATCTCCTACCCATTATGAGGTCGCCGTTAATTCTGACGGCCGCCAAAAAAGTCCAACCTCCAACCGATTCCGCATGCCCCCTAACACCCACTTCGTGACCACCTAACACACAAGGCACGCCACCACATCAACCGCCCCCCCAACATTACTTGTCTATAAATGCACCCACCTCCATTCCTTAACGATTCAGTAGTAGTACTCCTACTATTACATTTCGCCAGGCCAAAATGGATCTCCTCCTCCTGGAGAAGACCCTTCTAGCCCTCTTTTTCGCGGCGGTTCTAGCCACTGTCGTCTCCAAACTCCGAGGCAAGCGGTTCAAGCTCCCGCCAGGACCCATACCCGTACCGGTATTCGGTAACTGGCTCCAGGTCGGGGATGACTTGAACCACCGGAACCTCACCGACTTGGCCAAGAAATTCGGTGACATACTATTACTCCGGATGGGGCAGCGCAATCTGGTGGTGGTGTCTTCGCCGGATTTGGCAAAGGATGTTCTCCACACGCAGGGAGTGGAGTTCGGATCGAGAACCCGGAACGTGGTGTTTGATATCTTCACGGGTAAAGGTCAGGATATGGTGTTTACGGTGTACGGCGAACACTGGAGAAAGATGCGGCGGATCATGACGGTGCCATTTTTCACGAACAAGGTGGTCCAGCAGTATAGGTACGGGTGGGAGGAAGAGGCTGCAAGCGTGGTGGAGGACGTGAAGAAGAATCCGGAGGCAGCGAGGAGTGGGATCGTGTTAAGGAAGCGATTGCAGCTAATGATGTATAACAACATGTACAGGATCATGTTTGACAGAAGGTTCGAGAGCGAAGAGGATCCATTGTTCGTGAAGCTCAAGGCTTTGAATGGAGAGAGGAGTAGATTGGCGCAGAGCTTTGATTACAATTATGGCGATTTTATTCCCATTCTGAGGCCTTTCCTGAGAGGGTACTTGAAGATCTGTAAAGAGGTGAAGGAAAGGAGGTTGAAGCTTTTCAAGGACTACTTTGTTGAGGAGCGGAAGTGCGTTTCTTTTCCTCGATCTCCTTAATTAATAATACTCTATATACACTTTACTCAATTTCCTTTACTCTTTTTTCTTTTTTTTTTTTTTTTAATTTTCAACTAATGAATTAATAACGCTAATATTATTAGTATTAATTAAGTAATTTTAATTAATAAATTATGGGTGGAATGGGATGCAGGAAACTGTCGAGCACAAAAAGCATGAGCAATGAAGGATTGAAATGCGCAATCGATCATATTCTGGATGCTCAGCAGAAGGGGGAGATCAACGAGGACAACGTTCTTTACATTGTTGAGAATATCAACGTCGCTGGTAATTATAACTTCTACTACTAATTAATTAACACTAGCTGGTAGTAATAATTTAATTAATTAAAAATAAATCAATGGTGATTTTCCCTGTTTGCCCGTCTTAATTTCTTTGGGTTTCCATTCTAATTTTGTCAAAAACAAAAAGTGTTAAGGATGTTTTGACTATTAGTCGTTCAGTGTGTCCTCCATGTCGAAATCGAGTAGGATTAGTTCTTTTTTTACCTTCTGGCCACAAAACAAAAAAAGGGGAATATTATTGCAGCAAATCTGACTACATCTGGTTCTTTACAGAGTACCTTCAGCTGAATCATGGATACACATAGCCATATAGAAAATAGGAATGGAATAAAAAACATTTTTTTTTTGGGGGTACAATTTTGCATTTTAATTTTAATTTGGAGGGCAGAGTGCAGGCGGCTAAGATTTTGACAAATTAAGACAGGGAAAAGGAAAACAAAAACGGAAAATATTATGATGCTTGATTATAATTATTAAATATATAAAATATAATATATATTTTAATTTTATTAAATTTATTATATGATTATTATTAACTATTTTGATATTTTAAATACTAAAACATTCTTATTTTTTAATATCTTGATATGTTTATGCCTATACTTATTAATTAATTAGGAAGTTATTTAGATGTGTGAAATAATCCATCTCCATACTAATAGTAATTCATAATGGTACATTGCAGTATATATACATAGGTATCAACCAGCTTTAAATTTTTATTTAATAATTATTTTTAAAAGAAAAATAGAGGAGTTGACAAATTCAAATCAAGTTAGGGATAAGTTTTCCCTTGTTTAGTGAGCAACGTGGCATGATTGGTATGTTATGCCTAACAACAATAAGATGGGTTGACCCTACCACTTTGAGTACATCAGTACCTGCCAAACGTAGAAAAAAAAATGTAGTATTAAGATAAACAAGCAATTTTTAAGGAGTACTTATACCACACTCATAAAATCAAAGTCAATAACCCCGATGTTTGAATTTATTACTAAAAAAAGTGTCATTTTATTTAATTTTTAAAACTAATAAATAAAAAAAATTAATTTTTTTAAATGCATCTTATTGATATTGGAGATATATACTTAAAATCGTTTAAAAAATTATTAATTTTGAAGTGCATAAAACTAACGGGGAATACTAATGGTAGATATTTAAAAATATTAAAATAAATGATATGATATGGAGGAGTATAATTTATAAAAAAAAAAGTTTTTTTATAAGTCAACTAAGTATTAAAAGTATAATCTAATTTATAAATTTATTAAAATATCTTTAATGAAATTATTTTTTTGTTTTTTATTAATTAAAGGTGATTCAATATCTGATCTACGTAATCTGATTTATAAAATTCAGAATCCCTTATTTCATTATTTTATTTTAATTGTTGTGTCACAAACAGCTATTTTATATTTCATTATTTCATTATTAATTGTTTAATTGTTGCGCGCGTAACAAACAGCTATTGAAACCACGCTGTGGTCGATCGAGTGGGGAATCGCTGAGCTGGTAAACCACCCCAACATCCAGAAGAAGCTCCGGGATGAGCTGGACTCCGTACTGGGTGTGGGCCACCAAATCACAGAGCCGGACACCTACAAGCTTCCCTACCTTCAGGCTGTAATCAAGGAGACTCTGAGACTCCGCATGGCCATCCCACTGCTGGTGCCACACATGAACCTCCACGATGCAAAGCTGGGCGGCTATGACATCCCTGCAGAGAGCAAAATATTGGTGAACGCCTGGTGCCTTGCCAACAATCCGGCTCATTGGAAGAATCCTCAGGAGTTCAGGCCAGAGAGGTTCTTGGAAGAAGAGTCAAAGGTGGAGGCGAACGGAAATGACTTCCGCTACCTCCCATTCGGTGTTGGAAGGAGGAGCTGCCCCGGAATCATCCTGGCACTTCCCATCCTAGGTATCACCATCGGTCGTTTGGTGCAAAACTTCGAGCTGTTGCCTCCACCGGGACAGCAGAAGCTCGATACCAGCGAGAAGGGAGGACAATTCAGTTTGCACATTTTGAAGCATTCCACCATTGTGGCAAAGCCAAGGTCATTTTAAAAAGGAAAAACAGAAAGCAAATTCATCAGTTTGTATTGGATTACTGCATGCTTATGAGACTTAATCTCCTTGCAAGGTTTGACCATGTGTAAATTTGCCATTAATAAATAAGTTTTGCGTTTTGGATTGAATTTTAGATATCAATTCTATACATTATACTCTTACCAAATCTCAATTACTACTGCTTCAAAATTACTAGTGCATGTAAGTGGAGTGCATGTAAGTGAAGTCAATCGGCAAAAAAAAGAGAAAAGAAAGTAGGGGAAATTTCTACAGTTTTGATACTACACATAGTTTTGCTATTTTGTCCAATCTGTAAAATTTTACTGTTGGATTGAGCTGAAATTTTATTTAAATGTTCAAGAGACATTAATATACATTTTGAACGGTTAGTTTTTCATTTTAAACTTTGTAGGTTTTGATTTTGTATCCAGAACAGTAACTAATTTCTAGTAATCTTTTTTTTTTTTTTTTAATCCCATTTTCTTTGTTGGTTTGTGACTTGCTATTCCTCTTATTTGGTGTTGAGTTTTTCACAAACCCAAGTGTTAAAGAACTTGTTTTGCTTCAATAGGTAGAAAGAGAGAGAAGAAGAGAGGGATGGGGAATAAAGTTGAGAAATTGGTGTTGAACGGTTCAAGAGGAAGATGGAGAGACAAAAAGAAAAATGGGTAATGTAGGGAAAAAAATGGTTTTGAAAGTAAATTTGTAATTTTATTTTTACAATTATTTGGTTTGTATAATGTGCACCCATCCGGTGTCGAGAAAACATATGAATTTCAATAAATGATTTATTTTGGTAGTACCATTCACATCAACTCACACGCTCCCCGGAACAATTACTTATAAATAATGTAACATTTCGAAATCCTTATTGAAAGATTAACCAATCTTCCACTTAAACAAATTTCTTAATATCCCAAAAATATTGAGTGATAGAAATCATTACTTCTAATAAATAAATTCTTAATATTCATATTAATCATAAAATATTATTAGGATTATTGTCTATATATATGGTTTTATGATTCTTTTTAACCATATCTTTTATAATTTTTATAATGATAATTCTTTAATTTATGAATTGAGAGAATCTTAAAACTTCTAAAAGGACTTTCAATATTAAATGGTGCCCTTACTTTAATGCTCAAATAATCTTATGAGATTATTTGTATATCTTAAATAAATTAAGATATACAAATTCTAAAATTATTAAAATTTAGATACTAAAATTTTCAAATATTTAAGTTTAGGAATTAAAAATTTTATAGTATAAAGTGAGAGATTAAAACCTTTAAATTTATCAAGTTGAGATGATAAAGATGTGTTTTAACCCTCCCTTGCCACCTAAACACATTGCACACCACCTGAACACATGGCACGCCACCTGAACATATGGCACGACACCACATCAACCCCACATTACTTGTCTATAAATGCACCACCTCCATTCCTCAAGATTCATTAGTACTCCTACTATTACACTTCGCTCCTGAGAATTTCGCCAGACCAAAATGGATCTCCTCCTCCTGGAGAAGAGCATTCTAGCCCTCTTTTTCGTGGCGGTTCTAGCCACCGTCCTCTCCAAACTGCAAGGTAAGAGGTTCAAGCTCCCACCAGGACCCACACCCGTACCCGTATTCGGCAACTGGCTCCAGGTCGGGGATGACTTGAACCACCGGAACCTCACCGACTTGGCCAAGAAATTCGGTGACATACTATTACTCCGAATGGGGCAGCGCAATCTGGTGGTGGTGTCTTCGCCAGATTCGGCAAAGGAGGTTCTCCACACGCAGGGAGTGGAGTTCGGATCGAGAACCCGGAACTTGGTGTTTGATATCTTCACGGGTAAAGGTCAGGATATGGTTTTTACGGTGTACGGGGAACACTGGAGAAAGATGCGGCGGATCATGACGGTGCCATTTTTCACGTACAAGGTTGTCCAGCAGTATAGGTACGGGTGGGAGGAAGAGGCTACACGCGTGGTGGAGGATGTAAAGAAGAAGCCAGAGGCAGCAAGGAGTGGGATCGTGTTAAGGAAGCGGTTGCAGCTAATGATGGACAACAACATGTACAGGATCATGTTTGACAGAAGGTTCGAGAGCGAAGAGGATCCGTTGTTTGTGAAGCTCAAGGCTTTGAATGGGGAAAGAAGTAGATTGGCGCAGAGCTTTGATTACAATTATGGCGATTTTATTCCCATTCTAAGGCCATTCCTGAGAGGGTACTTGAAGATCTGTAAAGAGGTAAAGGAAAGGAGGTTGCAGCTTTTCAAGGACTACTTTGTTGAGGAGCGGAAGTGCGTTTCTTTTCTCGATCTCCTTAATTAATAATATATACTTAACTCAATTTCCTTTACCTTTTTTAAAGTAGTTTTTAGCTTTATTCAACTCATTTCATCCCTCTATTTTATTTTATTTAATTAATCATATACTTTAACTCAATTTTCTTT